ATTTTTCCAATGAATCATGTCTGTAGTTCGATTCTCATGAAGTTTAATTTTCAATAATGTTTATTGTAGATTACTTTTCTCTTAACGACTATGTTTTGCCGTGATTGTCGCTTCCTTTTGAAACAAGACTTCGAACTTTTTTCGGATAGATTCAAATGAAATTCGAAAATTTGTCTTCGAAGATACAACAGGATATGAGATGGTAAAAATCTCTTAATTCATATAACTCTTATCGATAGTACTAATTCCACTGATTTGTCTTTGTGAATGATGATGTCATGTCCGAATAATAACTATGGCAATGATCTTTTAAAATAATCAAAACTAACATTTGAAGGGATGAATGAATACATTGTGCACCTCTTCATAATGAGTTATCAATGAATTATCTAATTGTTTTTCATCATAAATATAAATTCCAATTAGTTGTAATAAATGATGTACATTCGGCACAAGTACTCGAGCAATATCAAATGGAAAAATAAGATATATGAGATTAGTTTAAGTATTTTAAATGAAATTTCTACATTCGTTACGATTATCAAATGTTTGAATATAGCCATGAAAACTACGAAGTTTTCCTCGAATAAAAGAATCTTTTTGGATAGTATCGATCATTGGATCGAACCAAACAATAGTATAGAAAACATTAAGATTATTTTTTGAGTTATCAATATTATTTTCTAATTCTTTAATTTTACAATATTTTCTCTTTTTGTCGAATTGTAATGATATTTACGATATGAAATATAATGCGGTCTTTATTAGAATTTCAATTACACTAAAATAGTGACTTTGAAAGAGATAAACATGTTAAAAAGTTTCAAGACTTCAGTAGATATGTGTTTTCAAGTCAATAAAAATATTGCTGTGTTTGTTTACCTATCTATAAATGAGATTAAACTGCTGATTCAATGCTCTGTTACAACTTACTCTTACCATTCTCTGTTGATAGTAATAAACCTTGAAAATATTTCATATGTATTCGTCTGACATAGAATACAGAAGTGATAATTGTTTGAATTATAGAAATGATTTCGAATGAAGATAAAAACAAGTAATATGTGTCCTATAAACAATTTGAATTCGAATTGTTCTATCGGCAAAATGATGAATAACTTACAAATGACTACGAGACATGGGTACTACCAATAAATATGACTGATAACGAAAAACGAAAGATAAAGAATGCATATGTGGATGTTATGACTGAAAGAAAAAGAGAAGAAGTAAGAAATTCAGTGAAAACATAGTTCCGAATTTGAATCTGGTAATAATTTTTTAATAATTTAAAAACATTATTTTTTTCCAAGTCTTCTGAAGAACATTTTTGAAATAGAGCTGTTGAATCTTATGAACATAATTTAAAAGTAACAAATAATTTTGAACTGTTTCTAAATCAATATTTTCATATTTAAGTACTAGAAATTCAGTAGGAAGAGCTAAAAATTTTGAACACTATTTTTTTCATAATGACGCCTCAATTTCACTACTTTTATTAGTGGATGAATTTGTTTGTAAATCAAAATTTTTGTTAAAATGCGATTTTAACAAGTTTGCCAACGGTCAGTGTAAAATTTGGTTCAATTAAATCTGTCAACAAGAAATGAATCTCAAATGTTTATATGACTAATAAGTACAGGATATTAAGATATTGGACTTTTAAGATCTAAATTTTTTGTGAGAGTTTTAGTTGCAATTTTGCCTTCTAAAATAAACTTCATTCTTTATAAGTCGATACTTCGTAACCTACTCAAGCGAATGATTTGCCATGGCTCATGGCTTATACGATGGCATACGACCGTATAGAAAAAAATATCAGGAATACCTAGGACGGTTATCAAAGTCACTAATATAGCTGAAAATAGTGTTGTAAACCTTTGTTTCATACAATTTGCAAAGAGCTTTAAATTGACGTTTTGGTAGATGCAGTATTACGACAGTATTTTATAGTGCGGTACACAACTGATAACAGTTGTCCAATGTCCTGAAAGTCGAGTATCTGACCGTTTATAAAATAGTGAAAGACAGTTGTTTATGACCGTGTGCTTCTTTGATTTGAACTCAAAAACAAAACAGGCCATTAATCACATATCTTTTAAACAAGACTGAATTTGATATTGTTTATTTAAGCTGAATCAAGTGCAGAATGTTTCTAGTATTTCAATAAAACTATAATAGGAGCAATTCATTCTTAAACAATAGTTTCTAAAACTTATGTCTAACAACAAATGCATCTAATATTTTTCTATCAGAACTTTTTATCATTCATGCATAATTTTTTTTTTCTAATATTTTCAACGGTTATCAGAGAAATAACAGATAAAGGAAATTATAATTCAGATAATCATATAACGACAACTTGTCATAGATGTCGTTAACTTGATGTTTCGGTTCACTTAATTGGAAGTCACAACGAACAAATGAAAACCTTTCGATAATCTTATGCTCATTTGGTTGGTCATAGTTCTTGTATCTCCATTACTGGGTTAATATGTCAGCAGCCGCTCGTGCATCAAGAAAATGGATTTGGTTAGGCGCAACCTTAGCAGTTGGTGGTGCCGGATATTTACTTTATTATGGACCTGGTCAAAAGTTTACATTTGAAACTAAAAAATCAGGAGGCGCATCGCCTACACTTTTAGCACCCGATGCACTTGATCCAAATGCATTTCGTGCATTTAAATTATCGGATGTTAAGCAATATAATCATAATACAAATATATTTACATTTGATTTTGATGATCCAAAAGCAAAATACAATGGTAAAACTGCTTCATGTGTTTTATTTAAAGCCGATATTGATGGCAAAGAAGTTGTTCGGCCATACACACCTGTATCACGTCCTAATACAGTTGGTCATTTAAACTTCGTTATTAAACATTATCCAAAAGGTGTTATGAGTAAACATGTTCACAGCATGAAAAAGGGTGACTCAATTGAAATTAAAGGGCCTAGTAAAAAGAACAAATTTTACAAATTATTTTTCCTAAATATTTTTATTTTATAGTTCCAAAATATCCATACGAACCAAATAAATTTGAAAATCTTGTTCTAATTGCTGGTGGAACTGGTATAACTCCAATGGTTAGATCAGACATATTTATTTTAGCTTAAAATGATTTTTTATTTTAATTTCATTTTTTTAGGTTCAAATGATTGAAGAAGTTCTTCTCAATCCAAATGATAAAACAAAAATAACATTTTTATTTGCTAATGTATCAGTAGATGATATTTTATTAAAAGAAACTTTGGATAAACTTGCTGAGAAATATCCAGATCGATTTAAAATTCATTATATAGTTGATAAAGTAGATAAAGCTCAAGCAAAAACATGGCAAGGCGAAGTTGGGTAAGCATATATTTAACCATTATGCCAATCATATTCTTTTATATTTTAGATATCTTACGGTTAAAATGTTGAAGAAATTATCGCCAATGCCAGCTAAGAAAGATGATGAAAGTCTTTTAGTTATGGTTTGTGGTCCACCTGGATTCATGAAATTACTTAGTGGAGAGAAGACCAAAGATTTTAAACAGGTATCATCACAAGACTTAATTTCGATTTTTCAGTTGTGACAAAAAAAAGTCTATTAGTTCCCTTTGGTCATTGTGAGAAAGGAGAACAGTTTGAATAAATGATAGAATTTTATGGAATCGATCAATTTTTTGTTCGTGAAAAACTACAAGTAACGTTCGTCGGTTCGACTCACTTGATCCTCGACTGTATCAGACAGAAGTATACAAGTCTCATCCATAGACACCCAGTTATGAAACAGCTGATTAAGGGAGAATTTATCAAATATGTCGGATTGACTGAATTTTTAGTCTAAAAAATCGAATTGGTTGAAAGTTCAACATTAAAAGCGCGAGAATCGAACACTTAGCCAACGTTTTTTATGACGTTTCACCTTTCACTCTGACTAAAGCAGACGAAAATTTATTTTACTTTATATAACCCTTCCTACACTCGAAAAAACATTATTTTCTCAAAAAACCTTTTCTCCTGAACTAAAAAAAATTCAACTCAAAACTTTGAGAAACTAACTTCAGATTCGGATTTTCCCACCTTGATTTACTTTCGTCAACTTTTATAAAATATCATTATTTTCTCAAAAAACCTTTTCCTCAACCTAACAAGTTTATTTCAAAATTTGAGAAACTGACATCAGGTTCGGATTCCCCGACCCCGATTTACTTTCGCCAAACTTTATAAAATATCGTTATTTTCTCAAAAAACCCTTTCCTCAACCCAAAAAAGTGAATTTAAAATATTGAAAAACTAACTGCAGATTCGGATTCCCCTACCCCAATTTACAACTGACACATTCATCTTTAAGCCGATGTTCTTTTAACCCTGATGTTTTTTTTTGACCCGGCGACAGGACGACAAACTATTTTATTTTATATGACCCTCCCTTCAGTCGAGAGAATAAATTAGTTTTTCTCTCTGTGCTATTTCAAATGTCTTTATAAAGTTTCTTTTCAATGAATCGCAGTCAGTAAATACCAAATCGATCATTTATTTAGTAAAAAATGCTGAAATTATCTGACACATAAATCAAGACAATATTTACATGTTATTTGATATTATCGAAAACAACATGGTCTAATAAAGAATTATAACTATTAATGTCTTTCTATTTTAGGGTGAATTGACCGGTCTTCTCAAAGATCTTGGCTTTACAGAAAAAAATGTCTTCAAATTCTAACTGTCTTTTTTATCTTTCATTTTGATATTGTGACGTTCTAAACTTCTATCTTTCGTAAACTTAAATTACGTAGACTAATATTACATGAAACGATTAAATGGAGCGTATCTACATTTTTTATTAGTACAAACTTGTTTTTTTCTTATTGACAACAAATAAAGAGAGCATATGAATAGCAACAGATGGAGATGAATAACTCACTCTAAACAACGCCTTAATTGAAAGTTTTTCCATTATCAATGACTATTTCTTCATGTCATTTTCAATGATAAAAAGAAAAGAACACGTATGTCAAAAAATTTCTCAACTCAAGCACATTCTTTTCGAAAACCTATTAAACCAATAATTGATGCTGATGATGATGAAGATGATAAACGACGAAACTCATATGGTCGAAAACGAGTTGATGTTATTCAATGTTTATTAGAATCATCATCTGATGAAAATGATGATGCAAATCTTATTAATCAAAATTCTAATAATATTCTTTGGTTAACATTTGCTGAAATATGCCATATTCGTTCTATTTTTGCTCGAACAGTTCTTAGTACTCGTATGTTTAATAACAACAAACAATATTTTAAAATCTTTCATAATGATTTATGTTTTCGATGTCAAGAAAAAATTAATTCTCTATCTTTGATACCATCTTTTTTCTATTCTAAGAATATTCCTATTTGTTATGTTTGTCAACAGAAAATATGTACAAAATGTTCATTAACAAATTTTTTACCTCCATCATCGAAACATTTGTTTCCTGTTCGAGTACAAACTTTAATAAAATTATCAACAACTCCTATTGCAAATGAAGCAAATAAAAATAATGAACTGAATCCAAAAGCAAAAACAATTTGTTATGATTGTTCACAGGTAACATGTCAATCTTAATAAAAGATTCACGAGATTTCAAGAATAAAAAATTATTAAAAGTTCATTCGTATTATGTTTATCGAACTTTAGATATTTGCTAAATACAGAAAACCTTCTCAATATTCTATCCAAACACCAGCTATTGAACTACACCATTCATGTTTGCCTTTCAATTTATCTACACAAGATCGTCATAGATATGTTAATACATTGAACGAGAATATTGGAAAAACAATTATCAATGATACATCATTTATTACTCGACTTTAATCTATTTTTGCATTCGTTTATTTTTATTTTACATACAAGAACAAATCATCAAGGATAAATAGGAAATTTATGTGAAAGAACAACGACAATGAGAAAAAAAAAATTTCAATGAATCGGTTTAGTTTAATCATTTTTGACTTGTATATTTTCTAGAAAGCAAAAACAAAGAAGCAGATGAGTAATAGTATTTTTATAAAACAATTAACATACGTCACAGCTTTTGTGCCTTCCGATACGGCATGTTTAGCAAGTTCACCAGGTAATAATAGTCGAACAGCTGTTTGAATTTCACGAGATGAAATGGTTTGACGTTTATTATATTGAGCTAATCGTGAAGCTTCAGCCGCAATACGTTCTATAGAAAAATGATTCAAACATTCTTCAATACAACAACAACAAAAAAAACATCTTTGCACTTACCAAAAATATCATTAACAAAGCTATTCATAATTGACATTGCTTTACTTGATATACCTGTATCAGGATGAACCTAATCAAATAAACGATTTGATATTATTCTTTTATGAAATAGATAAATTACCTGTTTCAAAACTTTGTAGATATAAATTGAATATGTTTCTTTGCCTATACAAAGATTCTTTTTCATTACAAATCTTAAAAAAATATAATCAAATGTAACTTACGTTTACGTCTATGGGCCTTTTTTTCACCACTAGCACCAGATTTACTGGAACTTAAACCACCTTTTGATTGTTTGCTAATAATCTTCTTTGAACCTTTGCTTGGTGATTTGATTGTTGTTGGAGGAGCCATTCTTATCGTAGAATACAATGGAATGTTAATGGCAGCTAACGATCGCCTTTATATAGACACATGTGCATCAATTTCATTGGTTACAGAACGAAAAAGAAAAAAGACATCGACATGGTTTCAACCATACTAGCGGTTAGTCAGAATGAATTTCATTGATTGTCTGTCAGTTAGTGCAATGACATGAATATGATTGGATGAAATCCACGAATCATATTAAGAAAAAGTTGCACGTTAGTAGGGCATTATATATAGAGAAGAGAAACGAAACTTCCAAGTTAATATTCATTTTATATACGCAAAACAAAAGCAAAACATGTCAGGCCGTGGTAAAGTATCAGGAAGTGGCAAAGCTCGTGCTAAAGCTAAAACACGATCATCAAAAGCTGGTCTTCAATTTCCAGTGGTATGTATTAATTTTATTTTATTAGTATCATGCGAAGAATCTCATTATAAATAGTTCTCAAGAAGAAAATAGAAGAGTTAATCATATTTTATTGAAAGAAATACGTGAATCATATCATTTTAGGGTCGTATTCATCGGTTACTTCGTCGAGGTAATTTTGCTGAACGTGTTGGTGCTGGTGCTCCAGTATATTTAGCTGCAGTAAGTAAAATGATGTTGTATGAGATTGATGAAAGAAAATAAAAACATTTCTTTTGCATAGGTTCTCGAATATCTTTCAGCTGAAATTTTGGAATTAGCTGGTAATGCAGCTCGAGATAATAAAAAGTCTCGTATTATTCCACGACATCTTCAATTAGCTATTCGAAATGATGAAGAACTTAATAAATTATTAGCTGGAGTAACTATTGCACAAGGCGGTGTATTACCTAATATTCAACAGGTATAAATCCATCGAAGGAATAATTTAAAACTGAATGTTGATGCATTTTTTTTTCTTTCAGATATTATTGCCGAAAAAAGTTGAAGGTGGAAGTGGATCAACATCGCAAGGTGAAACAAGTTCATCTTCGAAAAAGACAACATCTAAATCATCTGGTGAAAAGAAAGCAACAAATGCTGATAATGCTTAGAGAGGATAAACGACCTAGTCGAGAATGTAATCAAAGACTTTATGAAGTTTGTTTTAATAATAAACATATTTTTTCCTGTATTTTCTCTCATTTTTTTGGTTAATTGTGTCATTTGTTTTTCTGACTTCTTGTAAATGAACTAAGAGATACACTTCTATATACAAAGTTTTACATTGAAGAAAAAAAAATTTGTTTTCAAAAGGCATTTCATTCAGTAATCAAGCATAGAAAAATAAAATTTATTGAGTGAAATAATGCTGTAAAGAAAAACAAAAAAATATACATATGCAATCGAAGAAAATGAATATAACAGTGTAACTAACTTATAGAATGCGTTTCATGTATGTCTTAATCGTAATTATAGATATTTTGGCTTCTATTCTATTAAATAGAAATGTAGTAGCAGTACCAAGGAAAAAGGCATTAGGGCATAGATCTGTCACTCCCTCGTATTTCACTTTCAATAGGTTAGAGAGATAAAACATGAAATTATGCACATTTTCGTGTATTTATTATTTCTTGGGTCAATGTAAAAAAACATTTTTGAAGATTAAATAGTCTTATGACTCTATTACTTTTGAATGTTAGAAATAATAAGTATGTTATCTATGAGCTTTTCTTTTTCAAACTAAAGATGAAAGCTAATATGATAGATCGATCTGGTTTTTCATGGTCTACAAAATGACGTGATGATTCTGCTTATCGATTGGTTTATTCATAGTCAGACAAATACGTGGGATATCGTACGTATTTGTCTGACCCTGCATAAACTAATCGATAAACATGTTTATTACGTCATTTTATCAAGAATAAAAAATAAAGATCGATCTATATTATTAGCTTTCGTACTGAGTTTAGTAAAGAAAAAATTATGGCTACCATAGCTATTGTACAAAACATTCCAAAGTGATACATTTTCTAAGATTATCTATTTACCAAAATATTGTTTTCATATTCACTAAAAGCAAAAATTAAATACACAGAAATTTTCATAAAGAAAAACACTAAAAAGAATCAAATAAATTAGTGGACAACGGGAGAGACAGGAAATCGATAGAAGAAATCAAAGAGATGATCGATATAGATTGTACTTCCTAGGGCAAACAGCGCGAGTGTACACTATGTTCACTGTGTCATACGAGGAAAAGCAGTATTTTATGTACGAATATTATACAACAATACAAACTGATACAATGGTCACTTATGGTTATTTAATTGATGGACACTCCAATATCATTATAAATCATCGGGTCAAGTGTGATTCAATGAGTAATTCAGTGCAGTGATATGGGGGTATGAGATATAGGATAGAAGTTGTGAGGAAGTATTTTTGAAAAGTATCTTACGCAACACGATCATCCGAAATCAACTCTATTTTAAAATATTATTTTAATGGGCCATATACATTATGTGCAATAATCTTAAATTATTGTGATTTTGTTATAAATAGAACAAATGACGGAGTTAAAATGAAATCTATACATCGGAAATTGATGACACTCATTGTCTCAAATTAATTTTTACAATGAATGATGAAAATATCATCTTAAGGATATTCACAAAATTGACTGAATAATTCTATACTGAGATTCTGCCATCATAAGTTGTACTCGATATATTCAACTTCTATTATAAAATTACTATTATATCATTTCATAGATATTAATAGTAGTTTCACAATTTTTTTTTCATATAGAAAATGAACCAATATTTCCGATTTGATATTAGTAAATTTTTCTGATGTTAAAATATCAACATGAACATGTTATATTAATTCTTTTATTGAAATAAGTAGAATAAAACGCAAGCTATAATAAAGGTAAGCATCCTTCCGACACATCATTGTTTGAGTAAATAATTTATTGTTCCACCCAAGTACATTTACATTGCGTTGTAGTTCTTGTGAAATTTTTTTTGTTGCAATATTCAATTCATCATAATTGGAAGTGTGGTTGAAGACAAGTGGGTAGAACGATAGAATAAAGATGGATCTGCTCACATGCACAACTTCTCAAGGCTAAAGAAATAAATCTATGCCGTGAACACGTACTTATATTGCTATTCATTTTTCTTTCCCATTTTATTTCATTTTGTCATAAAATATTGTACGTATCAAAGTTGATTTTCTCACCACTCCAAGATTCTCATTTACTTTTCTGCAAGCATTGAGCTTTAACTTGTTGTTTGATTTGAAATATAGATTTTTATTTCATATGACGATTAAATGATTTACCAAAGTTTAAGAAAATGAATAGTACCATAGCAAGCAGTAATATTGCTATCAAAGTTTCTATCGATTAACTATTGACAAAAAACTAAAAGAAAGTCATTTGTAGTATGTGATGCAGTAGATGAATGAATGAAACTGAAGTCCTAGTATGTTGTGTGGCTGCAAGGTCTTCATAACATATTAATCAATAAGATATTTTGATAGTTGATCGTAAAGACTCTGTTATGTCTGATTGAAAAGTAAAGATCCTTCTATGTAACTAAATATATTTATCCTTGAGAAATATTTTCATAGACAAATTGATTTGATTATAAGTAGAACGATTACATTATGAGTCTTTATTAGATTAGTTAAAAAACCAATATGTTCCTCTATTATTCTGTTATTTTAAAAGTACATATTTAGTGTCAGTAAAATAAAATAAAAAAACGAACGATAATAATAATAATAATAATAGATATGTATTGCTTTACTTTTTTGACATGTCTCTAAATCTTCATCACATCCATCAATAGCACACATGCATACTGTTTCATCTTGTTGACATTGTGTAAAATAAATACTTTTTGATGTCCATGTAAATGACTTACATAAATTTGTTTTATATTTTATTAAATAAGCCGAATAAATTGATGGTGGTAACGTTTGTCGTGTTATATAATTTGTTCGATCAACACTAATCGCACATAAAACACCATGATCAAATAAAAAATTTTTACATTCATTATCATTAGATGAACAAAGTTGTGTTAAAGTAGAATATGGTGACTGTCTATAATCTTCATATGGTCGAAAACATTTAACTCGATCTGTTAATTGAGCAATTGTATTACTAAATATTGGTGATTGCCGATTCCAATAAGGACTACCACGTTGAACACATTCTGTATAATTATAATTGCATGCATTTGTAACACACATACAAGCTCGATAAGAACCTCGTAGTTTAGAATACGGCGAAGCAACACAAAAATCATCGTAACCATTTAATACACCACGTGGAAAATTTTGACATTCACGAACAAGATTTTCATGATAAGCTTCAACTTCATGAGCATGTAAACATTGATAAGTTATACCTAATGGTCCAGAACCAGTCAATGAAAGTGATGTTCTAATTTCATAATTGCGTGCAACAACAAGACATGCTTCACAATTAAATAATAATGCAGATGATGATCCATTCCAACATGTTATATTTCGAGTAGAAATACGATTTTCTGTTGAATGAAGTAGAGCTGATGATGTTCTTAAGTATATTATGATGAAGAAGAGAAACATTGTATTAAAGAATAAATGACAATATAAGTCTTATAACGACTAGGGTCTTAAATGAATGTTGTCTGTCAATACTAAGAAGGCGAAGGAGATAGCAAAATAACTCATCAGTCAATATGTACTTATATCATGTCGTCTAGATAATTGAAATTTGGATAAATTCGTCTTGTTGCTCTGCGAGACAAACAAAAGAATATGTGAAGCAGAGGCATAATCGGACGAAACTTTAATAACCAGTCGATCTGCTTGTTCTGAATGGCCCAGAACTCGTACCATTACTGGTTCTATCTGTAGATAGTGTTATTAGATATAGTCAACGTTCATTATAATTTCATTATTTATTCTATACTAGATAAGATAGATCGATCCGTCGCCAATCTACGAATTATCAACTGATCTGAATTCTGTACCGGTATCGACTGCATCTCTATTGCAAGATTTTTCATAAGGAAAATGTTCTTTGAAAAACTATACTATGTACTTTTGAACATTTTTCTTTCTAATAAACTACGGTAACAGTGACTGCGTCTCAATGCTTAAATTCACTTGTCTTTTTTATATTATGAAATTTTTGTATTAGTTGGTCTTTCTATAAACTTTTCATTATTTTTATGAAACTAAGTTTTATTTTAATTCTAATTTATACTTCTATATCCTAATAGCGCCATCCAATCATTGTTCAAGGAGGAATTGCCTTGGATTTTGCGTGGCTTCATGTCCGCCTTTTTTTACATGTGTACACGCGACAAAAAGTGACTTTTTCTTTCTTTTTTTTTCTTCGCACGAACGATCAAAATTTCAGTCATCATCTTGCCAAACTAAGAAGCAGAAAGAGTAGTCATGGCTGAGAAGAAAAAGAAGAAAGGGGGTGGTAAAAAGAAGAAGACAGGTGAAAATGTCTATGAAGCTTTACTTGAATACAAGTTTGTCTAATTCATCAATAAAATATTTTTTCAATTTAAAATGATTTTTATTTCTAATAAAGAATTTCTATAATTGACAAAGAACTTGAAGAATGGCGTTTTCGAGTACATAAACTCGAAGAAGAAAATGAAGCATTAAAAGGACGAGATGCACATCTACGTGAAGAATGTGAAACAACAATGAAAAATCTTGTCAGTGATGCTTTGCAATTTGATAAAGAAAATATTAATTATCCTAAAATTGGTAAAGAAGATGTAAGTATGATCAGATACCGTGCGAAGGATCAAATATTAGGGGGGTGTATAGCGGATTGGGAGGAGGGATGTAAGGGAGTATTTTCAGAAGAATCTTGCAGAAAAATCATAAAATATAGACAAAATCTGCTCTTGTGGCCGGAGAAAACTGAAATTTTTTGATTTTTTTTGAGGGGGTGTACACACTCCTACACCTCCCGCTCGCGCAAGGCCTGAGTATGATATTATTATTTGTTTGATAATTTTCTCTTGATTTTTAGGTTAACGCAGCTCTACATGAAAAAATGGATGCAGCTGCACAAGAAGAAGCTGAA